CTTGGTGCATTCTCCACATGCCAGGATCTGAACACAGATTGCACACCCCTCCATCTCTCCCCAGGCTTTGTTTTTTGGGGATTTATGTAGCAGGAATTAAGTTTCCGCAAAAGCTAACCGGCTTACTTTGGAGAAAGTAGATTCAGGAGCAAAGTGATTACCAATCTGAAGGAGAAGGGGATTTTTTTTATCTGAGGCTCTGATTCAGGGGGGGGGGGGAAACCTAGTCAATAGATGGAAGGAAAGGCCACTGACTAACTGAGAGGTCCTTGGTGCCCTCTGAGCTTATGGAGACGTTTCATTGCCCAATTAGGTAACATCATCAGTGCTAGAAGGGAGTGGAATTTATGGAGAGGAGGGAGGGAGGGAGGGGGGAAGGAAGGAAGGAAGGAAGGAAGGACTATGAGGTCCTAGGTTCTCTCTGAGCTTGCTTGTTTTCTTGCAGACGTTTCATGACCCAAACTAGGTAACATCATCAGTGCTAGAAGGGAGTAGGGTTTGTGGAAAGGAGAACGAGAGGAGGAGGAGGACTGTGGGGTCCTTGGTGCTCTCTGAGCTTGGTGGTTTTCTGGCAGACGTTTTATTACCCAACTAGGTAACATCATCAGTGCTAGAAGGGAAGGAGGTTTGCGGGAGGAGGAGGAGGAGGAGGAGACATCTTTTGTGATCTCTAAGCTGGGTTGTTTTCTTGTAGATATTTCATTACCCAATTAGGTAACATCATCAGTGCTAGAAGGGAGTGGGGTTTGTGGAATGGAGGAGGGAGATGGAGAACTGTGGGGTCCTTGGTGCTCTCTGAGCTTGGTTGTTATCTTGCAGACGTTTCCTGACCCAACTAAGTAACATCATCAGTGCTAGAAACCCCACTCCTTACTAGCACTAATGATCTTACCTAGTTTGGGTCAGGAAACATCTGCATAAATATAACCAATAATAACTTCTGGACTTTCCTCCAGAAGCGGTGAATACTCCAACACTGGAATTTTTAAAGAAGAGACTGGACAGCCATTTGTCTGAAATGGTATAGGGTTTCCTGCCTGAGCAGGGGGTTGGACTAGATGACCTCCAAGGTCCCTTCCAACTCTTGTTATTCTTCTTTTGTAACAGGGATGTTACAAAAACAGCTTGTTTATTGAAGTTTAAGGTTACACTTAACCTTAAACAAGGTTTAAGGTTATTAAACAAGGAGAGCCTCATTGTCCTGATCTGTTTTAAATAACTGTCCGATAGAAGGTTACAGGGAAATCTTCTGGGTTTAAACTAATTTTCTTCTACATTCCAAAGCAATGGTACAATTACACAAGCATGGGTACACGTGCTTTAGGTAGGGAAAATTCCAGTACCTAGCTTAATAGTGCCTAAAAGTTCTCATATGTACACTCTTACTGCCCTCTCGTGGACTACGGAAACAATGTGTAAATCTGTTTTTTCTTTAACTACAAATTTTAAACTCCTGGCATGCATGGCTAAAAAGAACAGGATTTAATACCTTTAATTTCCTTCATGACCAGCTCACAAAGAAAGGGACAATCTTCTGAGTTAGTCAAATCTCTCCATTAGATGAATCATAAATGTATGATTGGTATTTGTTCTGTATTATGCCACCAGTCTGGTAAATTCGCAATATTTGTTTGTCTCGCCATGCATATGCATACATAACCCGAACTTAGTTGTTTCTCTGTGTCATATAATATATGTGGGTATATGCATAATTCTGTATTTATGTATGTATGTAGGGTTTTTTTTCTCCTAGAATGCCCAGAACGGAGTTCCGGCACCTTTTTTGGATGGAACCTTATAGGGTAGGCAAGGCGGGTTGTAGGACGTGTGTGAGTTCCAGCACCTTTTTTTTTTTTAGAAAAAAAGCACTGTATGTATGTATGTATGTATGTATGTCATATTTACGTAATGTATATCAGAGATAGTGACTCTTGGAATGCTGTATACAATGAAATTTCATTTTAATGTATGCCGATTAGTGTACATTCAATAAAGTTATTCTGTTCTATTCTATTCTTTCTGAATTCTATTCTATTCTATTCTTTCTGAATTCTATTCTTTCTGAATTCTATTCTATTCTATTCTATTCTTTCTGAATTCTATTCTTTCTGAATTCTATTCTATTCTATTCTTTCTGAATTCTATTCTTTCTGAATTCTATTCTTTCTGAATTCTATTCTATTCATTCTGAATTCTATAATTATTATTATTATTATTATTATTATTATTATTATTATTATTATTGTTGTGTCAAAGCAAGAATATACAGTATTTGCAGCGTTGACATATTGATCATCGCAGTCAGCCAGATGTTCAGACTGGATTGGGCATTTTATTATTGTTATTAATATTATTGTTGTTATTGTTATTATTTTATTGTTATTGTTATTTGTTTGCCGCCCATCTCCCGCCCCTTTCGTTGCACGCCCCCCCCCCTTCCAGGTGAGAAATCAAAAGAAGCCGGACTCGGAGACCGCTTGGATCGGACGCCTGGCCGGGCGAAAGGATGCTGCGTCTCCATGGCAACGCGCGCGGAGGACCAGCCGGCAGGAGGGATACAGGAGCATCTCCAGGCGGCTCGGGAAAAGCAGGCAGCGGAGGCGGCGCTGGCTTCGGCTGACCCGGCAGTGGAAGCGGCGGATAAGGCGGCGTCGGAGGCCACCTCCCCTTCCTTCTCCTCCGCCTCCGCCCCCTGCTAGACCCGCCCGGGTTCGGCTCCGCCTCGCCCGGCGTGCCTCGAACCAGCGGAGCAAAGCAGGCGGGGATGCCCCTGGTGGGCTAGGGAGGGTGGCGGTGGGCTTCCCTTGCACACGGCTGCCCTTTGCACGCTCCAGGGAGGTGAGCATGCGGGCGAGCCTTGGCGCCTTCCCACGACTAGGTTGGTTGCCTTTCCCACGAGAGACACGCGTCCCCGCGAGCGGTGCAGCCTCAGGTCGTGGGGTGGGAGTGGGATGTGTGCGAGAGCGATTCTTTGCAGATTTAAATCTTTCTCTGAACGTTGCTCAGGTTTGATCTCTGGCTCTTTTTTTAAAAAAAAAATCTTACTTATTAGGATTTTGCAGTCTATAAAATTAAAAGGTTAAGGGGGAGAAAAGGACAGAGAGAGTAAGGAATGAAAAAAAAAAAGAAAGAAAATGTAGAAATGTCCTTTTCCCCCCCCTATGGAGTAACGGGCATCTTATTTTTCCCTCTTTTTAACCGTTTTTGTAAATTCTCACCTGGTTCCTGAGTTTTAATGGAGAGGAATTGGCAAAAAAAAACAAAACCTGTCTCTCTTGGTGATAAGCATATTTTTTTATTTTAAAGCAGAGTTGTAGCTGGACCAAATTTGCAAGCGATACATTTTGTAGGACTTTCTTGTTATGCCAGTTAGATGTCAACAAATCTCCAATGCTGGAAGGTCATCAGCTGTTCTCTTGCCTAGTGCTGTTTTTTTATCAAAACAATTCCTAACAAATAACTAACATTTCTTTTTGCGGACAGGCAAGAATTCAATAGACACTATTTTGGTAGGTAAAGATCCTAAAATAACTTTTGCCTTGGCTGTATTTATAATTGCAGCCTGGAAAATTCATGCTTTATTAATAGCAAAGCAGAGTTTTAATCGCATGTGATATGTTTTGGGCTTTTTTTGTGTGAACTGGATCCATAACCCATAATGCTTATTCCAAAATGGTCCCAATATAGGGTGGTTTTGTACAAAACCTGGGTTAAAATGTGTGAGACTTGGTGTTTTTGTGGGAATGCAGATATGTGGATGCTTACAAGCTTAATCCTAACATAAACTAGAAGTAGTCATCCATTAACAATTGAGACTCAATGAGAATTGGGCTGCATACAGATTTAATATATTATTATGATGATGATGGTTGGTTGATTGCACAGTCATCCAGATGTTCAGACTGGATTTGCATTTTTATCCGCCTGTCGAGTCCTTTCCAAAGACCTGGGTTAGGCAGATGTTTGATGGTGTTAAAATTCTCGTGGCAAGGTGTAATCTGTTTTGTAATTGACCGATGGGGATTTTATCAATCCTGGTATTCAAGTGGTGCTCCAGATGTTTGAGATTGCACCCAAGGCACCTTTATTATTATTATGGCTGGTTGCACAATCTGCCAGATGTTTAGACTTTTTTGGGGGGGATAGGCGGCATTTTTATCCACCTATCGAGTCCAAAAGTAGCTTATGACCATTGTTCACACTTAGGACCGTTGCCCCATCCCCGTGGTCACGTGATCAAAATTTGGACGCTTGGCAACTGACTCGTATTTATGACGGTTGCAGAGTCCCAAACTCACTTAACAAATTTCTCACTTAGCAACATAATTTCTGGGCACAATTGTGATGGTAAGTCAAGGACTTCCTGTATGAGTACTGTCTTTGAACCATTCATAAGTCATTTTATTGAATGCTTTTATAATTCTGAATGGTGGTTAAATAGTTGTGAGTCAAGGTCTCCCTGAACCATATAGAAGTATGTGTTGGAAAGTGTTTATACCTAATAAACATTTTCACATTAAATATGGCAAATTATACTGGAAGAGAGTTTTCAAAAAGTGTTAGGTTAGGCTCCAGCTGGGCAAATGTTCTGGACAAGCGAACAGAGAGCCAGTTTGGTCTAGTGGTGAAGGCACAAGGCTAGAAAATAGATCATGAGTTCAAGTCCCGCCTTAGCTATGAAAGCCAGCTGGGTGACTTTGGGCCAATCAGCAAGGGATTCTGAGTTCTAGTCCCGCCTTAGCCATGAAAGCCAGCTGGATGACTTTGGGCCAGTCCCTCCCTCTCAACCCAACCTGCCTCACAAGGTTGTTGTGGGGAAAATAGGAGGGGGAAGATATGTTGGATATATTCACTGCTTTGAGTTATTTATAAAAATAATAAGGGTGGGATACAAATAAATAAATAAACCGAGAAGAGAAACTGAGTTTTTCAGCCCTCCTTTCCAAAGTATTCAAGGATGTTGTTTTTTTTCCAGGCTGAAATATTTTCTTCCAGTTTGAAGGCTTCATCACCATTATTTGAAGATGAAGATAGTCCTTATGGTAGCTGAGAAGCCCTCTTTGGCTCAATCCATCGCCAAAATCCTTTCAAGAGGTTTGGGAAAAAAAGGATATTCTGTTAATATTAATTATAATTTTGAATGTCAATGTTTATCTATCTATCTATCTATCTATCTATCTATCTATCTATCTATCTATCTATCTATCTTTCATTCTATTCTATTCTATTCTATTCTATTCTATTCTATTCTATTCTAAAATGTTAACAGCAAGTCATTTACCTTAAAATCGAAACAGTTACCGTACAACAACTTGATGTATGCTCTTATCTCTTTTTTTTTCATTTTGCTTGTTTCCTAAAAAGATCCCTTTGAAGTTGTAACTTGAGAGGATGTTTGTAATATCTGGCCTCTTTTTTTTTGGTAGTGCAATATTGTTGTGTTTTTCCCCCCTGATGTAGGAAACATGTCGTCACGCAAAGGGTTAAATGGGGCGTGCTCTGTCTATGAATTCACCGGTCCTTTCATTGGACAAACTGTCCACTTCAAGATGACGTCAGTATGTGGCCATGTGATGACGCTGGATTTTATAGGTAAAATGATCATTGTTTGCTATTTTAGAAAATAGAATAGAATAGAAGAATAGAATAGAGTAGAGTAGAACAGAACAGAATAGAGTAGAGTAGAGTAGAGTAGAGTAGAATAGAATAGAATAGAAGAACAGAATAGAGTAGAGTAGAGTAGAGTAGAACAGAATAGAGTAAAGTAGAATAGAATAGAGTAGAATAGAATAGAATAGAATAGAATAGAATAGAATAGAATTGGAAGGGACCTTGGAGGTCTTCTAGTCCAGCCCCCTGCTCAAGCAGGAGAACCTATACCATCTCAGACAAGTGACTGTCTAGTCTCTTCTTAAAAATCTCCAGGGATGGAGCGCCCACAATTTCTGGAGGCAAGCTGTTCCACTGGTTAATTGTAAATCGAGGACTGCCTGTATTCAGGCTACAGAGCTCACTTTATCAGAAGCCACCCATGACTTCACGAACAATTAGCCCAGATATTATTCTGATGCTTTACAAAGACGACGATGATGTTTTTTCCGCCCTTTTTAGGGAAATACAACAACTGGGATAAAGTTGACCCAGCCGAGCTTTTTAGCAAAGCTCCGACAGAAAAGAAAGAAGCCAACCCCAAACTTAACATGGTGAAATTCTTACAGGTAATGAATGAACGCTTGGGAATTTGCTGAGAAATGGAAGTATTTATCGACCGGACTGTGAGAGCCAGGTTGATCTGTTCAGACAGAGCTTTGTGTGGCTGGTTGTAAAAGCTGCCCACTAAGCCAGGGGTCCCCAACCCTCGGTCGGTGGACCGGCACCGGTCTGTGACATGTCAGAAACTGGTCTGCACAAACAAGCGAAACCCCCTCCGCGGGATGCAGGCAGCAGGCAAAACCACGTCCCCTCCGGTCCATGGAAAAAACCTCTCTCTCACTTAACGGTGCTCAATTGCCATCGTAAGACGAGGACTCTATGTAGTTCATCAGTAGAGGGACCACCTGCAATTTGATTGACGGGGCTTAGTGCCTGAATCCAATGGAGGTGGTTTTGCCAAACCGTCGTTTGGTGGGAAGGATCTTTCTTTCTTTTCCTGACACTCTGGTAAATATTTGCCCTTTCAGCCCAACCAAACTGGTAGAAATTCTAGAAAATGGGATCTTAAGAGCTTGGCAGGCAGCAAACCGGCTAGGCCAATTAATTGGGAATGAAATGTATCTTTTTTTTTTAATGTTCAGGTGGAAGGGAGAGCCTGTGATTACGTTGTCCTGTGGCTGGATTGCGACAAGGAAGGTGAAAATATATGCTTTGAGGTATGACTCACGATCTGACCGCAACGTTTTCCTTGGTTTAACCGGGTTGAGCATCCCAAAACCATGCCACTTGCCAAGTACCTAAATAATAATAATAATAATAATAATAATAATAATAATAATAATAATAATAATAATAATAATAATAATAAAGCAACCTTGGAGGTCATCTAGTCCAACTCCCTGCTCAGGCAGGAAACCCTATACCATTTCAGACAAATGGCTCATTTGTGGTCGTAAGCTGAGGACGCCGTGCACCTTACACCTTTTGCTTCCTCGGTTCTAGGTCCTGGATGCAGCCCTCCCGGTGATGAATAAACCTCGTGGGGGTGAGAAGACGGTCTACCGAGCCAAATTCAGCTCCATCACGGACACGGATATTTGCAACGCCATGAACCAGCTGGGCGAACCCAACCACAACGAAGCTCTCTCGGTTGACGCACGTCAAGAGCTAGACTTGAGGATCGGCTGTGCATTTACCAGGTTTTGTACCAGATTTGGCATCCTGGCTTATTTTTTTCCTGAGCCTTTGGGGAGAACTAGTTTGGCCCTTCCCTGCACATATTTAACTGCATTATAGCAATAGCCTTTAGACTTATATACCACTTCACGGTGCTTTACAACCCTCTCTAAGCGGTTTACAGAGTCAGCCTCTTGCCCCCCAACAATCTGGGTCCTCATTTTACTAACCTCAGAAGGATGGAAGGCTGAGTCAACCTGGAGTCCTCTCAGATTCGAGCTGATGGCAGTCGGCAGAGTTAGCCTGCAATACTGCACTCTAACCACTGGGAAGGAAGGAAGGAAGGAAGGAATTTAGCACAGACTTATATACGCTTCACAGTGCTTTACAACCCTCTCTTACAGAGTCAGCCTCTTGCCCCCCAACAATCTGGGTCCTCATTTTACCGACCGGAAGGATGGAAAGCTGAGTCACCCTTGAGACTTGAACTGCTGAGCTGCTGATTGACAGCCAGCAATCAGCAGAAGTAGCTGCAGTACTGCGTTCTAACCACTGTGCCACCTCAGTGTTCTATTATAGAATAGAAACCCAGAATAACAGGAGTTGGAAGGGACCTTGGAAGTCTTCTAGTCCCACCCCCTGCTCGAGCAGGAGACCCTATATCGTTCCAGACAAATGACTGTCCAGTCTATTCTTAAAAGCCTCCACTAATGGAGCACCCACAAATTCTGGTGACAAGCTGTTTCACTGGTTAATTGTTCTCACCGTCAGGAAATTTCTCCTTAGTTCTAGGTTGCTTCTCTCTTTGGTTAGTTTTCCTCTGTTGCTTCTTGTCCTGCCTTCAGGCGCTTCGGAGAATAGCTTGACTTCTTCTTCTTTATGGCACCCCTGAGATATTGGAAGACTGCTATCATGACCCCCTCGTCCTTCTCTTCGTTAAACCAGACATACCCAATTCCAGCAACCGTTCCTTATATGTTTTAGCCTCCAGTCCCCTGATCATCTTTGTTGCTCTTCTCTTGTACTCTTTCTAGAGTCTCAACATCTTTTTTACATCGTGGTGACCAAAACTGGATGCAAGATTCCAAGTGTGGTCTTACCAAGGCCTTGTAAAGTGGTATTAATACTTCACATGATCTTGATTCTCTCCCACTGTTAATGCAGCCTAGGATTGCCTTGGCTTTTTTTAGCTGCCGCCGCTCACTATTCTCTCTTCTCTGTTAACGTTCTCTTATTTATTCATACAGGTTTCAGACGAAATATTTCCAGGGTAAATATGGCAATTTAGACAGTTCTTTGATCTCCTTTGGGCCTTGCCAGACGCCCACGCTGGGATTTTGTGTGGAGCGCCATGATAAAATCCAGTCGTTTAAACCTGAAACCTACTGGGTGTTGCAAGTCAAGGTAATCGGCTCCGGCATTTAATTATTTGGGAAGCTTACCTCCCACCCACCCCAAAAATCATACAGGTTGTCCTTGACTGCTGTTCATTTAATGACCATTCCAAGTTACGACGGGACTGAAAAAAGTGACTTAACGATGGTTTTTCACACTTACGACAATCGCAGCATCCTCATGGGTCACGTGATCAAAGTTTAGACGCTTGGCAACTGGCATATACTTACGACGGTTGCAGCGTCCCGGTGTCACGTGACTCCCTTTTGCGACTTTCTGACAAGCACAGTCAATGGGGAGGGCAGATTCACTTAACAACCGTGTGACTCGCTTAACAACTACAGCAATGGACTTAACAAGTGTGGCAAGAAAGGTCTTAAAACGGGGCACAAATCACTTCTCAGACCTTTCACAGAAACGTTGGGCTCAATTGCGGTCGTAAAGCGAGGACTACCTGTATTTAGCTCAAACTTTCAGCATGCCGGCCAAAAAGAGCACCGTAGCAGATGCTGATGGAAGACTCTTATCAGAAGAACTGGTGATATTTTGTTTTTTCTAAATGTTTCCTTCTGACCAGGTGGTTCCCGACAAAGACAGTTGTTTGACCCTGGAGTGGGACAGAGTGAGGATCTTTGACCGAGAAATTGCTCAGATGTTTTTGAATCTAACCAAAATGGCCAAGGAAGCGAAGGTTAGCGTTGTCGGTAAAAGAATTTGCGTTCCTTTCAGTGACGGATTTAATCCGCCTTGGGTCACAGTTAACGTCATTAACTATGTTGTCGTTTATGTTTGATACTTTAAAAAACAGAAACTAAATACAGTAGTGGCCAAAATTGTGGAAACCTTTTGGGAAAGGTGTATTTTTGAGGTTTGATGGCTAATAACACCACTTTTTTTTTTTTAAGAGAGAATGAAATTTCAATCATTTTTCCTAGGACTTGATTTATCTGGGTAAAAATTGTTAAGGAACATCCCCCCCCCTTTTTTTTTTGCAGGTAGAGTCTGTGAGTAAAAAGGAGAAAGTGAAACAACGGCCTCTCGCTCTGAATACGGTGGAAATGTTGCGGGTCGCCAGCTCTGCGTTGGGTAAATAGGAGAACCTACAGCGGGATTCCTTTCTTTTAAAAAATAACACTAGCAATAGCACTTAGATTTATATACCGCTTCACAATGCTTTACAGCCCTCTCTAAGCGGTTTACGGGGTCAGCCTCTTGCCCCCCAACAATCTGGGTCCTCATTTAACCAACCTCGGAAGGAGGGAAGGCTGAGTCAACCTTGAGTCGGTCAGAATTGAACTCCTGGCAGTGGGCAGAATTAGCCTGTAATGCTGCATTCTAACCAGTGTGCCACCAGTGTGCTCTTGATAATCTGATAATCAATCAGAATAGAGTTGGAAGGGATCTTGGAGGTCTTCTAGTCCAACCCTTCTGCTCAAGCAGGAGATCCTATACCATTTCAGACAAATGGCTGTCCAGTCTCTTCTTAAAAACCTCCAGTGTTGGAGCGCCCACAATTTCTGGAGGCAAGTCGTTCCGCTGATTAATTGTTCTCACTGTCAGGAAGTTTCTCCTTAGTTCTAGGTTGCTTCACTCTTTGATTAGTTTCCATCTGTTGCTTCTTGTCCTGCCTTCAGGCACTTTGGAGAATAGCTTTGACCCCTCTTCTTTGTGGCAGCCCCTCAAATACTGGAGCACTGCTGTCATGTCACCCCCTGGTCCTTCTTTTCTCTAGACCAGCCATACCTAATTCCTGCAACCATTCTTCGTGTGTTTTAGTCTCCAGGCCCTTAATCATCTTAGTTGCTCTTCTCTGAACTTCTTCCAAAGTCTCAACGTCTTTATTTCTAGTGTGGTGACTACTGATTTTTAACCTATTTTTTCCAACCTTGCAGGAATGGGACCGCAGCACACTATGCAGATAGCCGAGCGGCTTTACACCCAGGGTTACATTAGTTACCCTCGAACAGAAACGACGCATTATCCCGAAAATTTCGACTTGAAAGGCCCTTTGCGACAGCAAGCTAATAATTCTTACTGGGCTGAATCTGTAAGTGATTGACATTAATCTCGTTGCCAAAAGACACTTAAGAAATCAAGCCAGACCTCAATTCACAGGGAGTTCTCGGCTTACGACTAGTTGCTTAGTGACTGTGTGAAATTCCGAGAGACTTATCTAGGGGGGGGTACTTACAATCCATATTCAAAGTTCTGATGTTTGTTTCTCTGGGGTCACATGTTGGGCCAAAGTTAAGCTGTTTGCAACATCCGACAGTCACACGACTGCGTTGCATGACAGTTTTGCCCAAAACTGGATATATTTGGCAGTTACTTCCCATTTTTAGAATAGAATAAAATAACAAGAGTTGGAAGGGACCTTGGAGGCCATCTAGTCCAACCCCCTGCTCAGGCAGGAAACCCTATACCATTTCAGACAAATGGCAGTCCAGTCTCTTCTTAAAAACGTCCAGTGTTGGAGCATTCACAACTTCTGGAGGCAGGTTGTTCCACTGATTAATTGTTTTAACTGTCAGGAAATTTCTTCTTAGTTCTAGGAGTTCCCTAGCTCATGCATGCTCTGTTTGGTTTTCTCCTAAGGTCAAAGCATTATTAGTGGAAGGCATCAACAGGCCACGGAAGGGCCACGATGCCGGAGATCATCCCCCCATCACACCAATGAGAGCTGCCTCTGAAGCAGAATTAGGTGAGTTTGTAAAACGCTCCAGAAACATTACAAGCAGCCATTCATTTAGCAACCGTTGCAGCATCTCCATGCTCAAATGATCAGAATTTGGGCACTTGGAAACTGGGACGTATTTATGATGGTTGCAAAGTCCCGGGGTTCATGTGTTCCCCGTTCACCAACTTCTCAGCTAACTTCCGACAAGCCAAGTCGATGGATTGGATTATTTTACCGACCACATGATTGACTTAACAACTGAAGCAGTTCTCT